CTCACTACTTTATTGCTTAACTTACCAATACTGAACTCATCAATTCAACTATACTGAATGCTAGCACACTCTTTCTTTTGCTCTAACTCTTTATTTGCTGGACTCCTGGTCATTTTACATCTCTGGATACAAATAAATAACTTAAGAGTGCCCTTTTCAGCTAGTGCCCCAACATTATTTTGCAGCACTCAATGAACTGATTGACCAGAGCAACTGAGACTAGGCCCCAATCCCTGCAGGCATCAGCCAGCCTTTATCTATTGGTTCTAAGAGTCTTATAATATCTCCTTCCTTAAGGCATCATTTCCATATGACTCCAAATTTGGGTATGAGACGTGGGAGAGAACTGCTCCCCTTTCACAGTGTAGTCACCTTGCCATTCTATGGTGGTAAGCTGGCATTTCATTTCTGGATCAATTCCCTCTCTATATCCATCTCTATTTTTTCTTCCCCACACAGACTCTGGTAGTGCTGCTGGAACATATAGAACCCATCACAGCGTTTTTACTCTGGAACTTTACTGTAACTTCTTACAGCAGTAATACACATCATAAGGGAATGTGCACATTCTTAAAAATAACATCTCTGGTCAGTGTGGGCTATTCTATTGAACCTACAGGTAAATCTAAAAAGTAGTGGACAGGATTAGATGTGGCCATGTAGATATGTCCACAACTTTCATCTCAATTACTCTTGCATTATGATATTTAACCATTTCAACATAAACAGAAAAAGAAAAAAAAGAAAAAGTATCTTATAAATAGCAAAAATTGTAATTCAAACAAAACGTCTACTAATGTCTACTAACATCCGACAGCAACCCTTAATAATTCCTATACTAAATATCTTAAATAATTAAGCTTATAAAAGGTTAATACAAAAAATATGTTTTTAGTATGAGGTAAGTTTAAGCTTACCCATTCAATTAATAGCATCATCTTTAATATATCATTCTGTGTTTTTAAATGTGGTCATAAATTGTTGCATCTCCATCTAAATCTAAAGTGTATTCTATAAACTATTTCCAGCTCTTAAAGAAATTGCTAACTTGGGTTTGATTTTAAAGTTCCACACTTAATTTTTTAAAATATAGCAGTTTTTTCATATCTGTTATTAATTTTGCCACCATAAGAGAGGCATTAGTTATCAAGTGCCTCATAATGGCTATCCAAGGTGTCACTAAACATACTGTATATGAATCCACTGCTAATTACATGTTTGCCTATTTATAATACTTATTGCTTCAGTCTGATCACAGCTAAAGAATAACATCGAATGATCTTTGTGAACAGTAATACCTGTAGCCAGATTTATATATTCCAACACCTGCTCCAAAAAGAGTGAAGTCTTTGGGCAATTCCACAAACAATGTGCCAACATGGGTCTATATAAATTACATTTTGGACATCCCTGCATACAGTGATGAAGCATGTATTGTAAACGGGATGTATGCTCTATGCATAAAATTAAATTAAGTTTCCCTCCAGCTCTCATTTATAATGATACTCCGAACCTTGTTGTACTCCTCCACTAATTTTTCTACAGGATTTTCATAGAAAAAAATCAACCTGCCAATTTTTTACACTTCTACACTACACTACACTGCACATATATATCCAATATAGCATAGACACAATTTCTTATCAACCTACCCAAAAAAGTTGGCTTGAATGCATAGAGGATATCACTGCAACTGGACCCTAGATAACTAGATATTTGTAAGAAGTGGAGATAATTCTGACCTGGAATGTTAACTTCCATAGAAACAGTTTCACAAGACTTCAATGAGTAAGAATTACTATGGTACGATTGGTGTGCCATAATCAAATCATTCTGTCTCCAGGTTTGAAAAGCTGCATAACCTCTACTCTGTAAATGATGGATTATCCTGAATAGGCATAAACTTTGATACATAGGGATACATTCCTTGTTTTTTTCCTCAACTTTCTCCAACATACTATTGTATCCCTATAAAGTAAATTAGTCTTCAAACTTGAAGACAGATTTCTTATCTTATTGTGTAATAAAGCAGAGAAATTCCATGGAGAGACCTGTTCTCTCTATATATCAAGGTTAGAGTATCTTGACAATATTGTTAGGCAGTCCAAAGCATGTCTTAGTAAGCAAGCTAAGTTATAAGTTCTAATATTGGGAAGGCCAAGACTTCCTTTATTTTTAGGTAGGGAAAGAGTAGATATTGATACTCGTGCTCTCTTCCCATACCATAAAAACCTAGTCATAGCATTCATTAATTGGTTCACTTCCTTATGTTTAAGAAGAATGGGTAATGTTTGTAAAAGGATAGGGAAGATGAGCTAAACTGACCATATTAATAAGATTGCTTCTCCCAAATAATGAGAATGGAAGATCAGCCCGGATCTCCAACTCTTTAACCTATTTAACAATGGTGGATAAATCAAAGCATGAAGTGAAGATGGCATTTTACCAATTTTTATCCCTAGATAAGTGATATATTCCATCACTACCACAAACAGAGAAT